TGCGATGGTGAAGCTGTCACAGTCAGTAAGTTTTTTGCCATCAGTGTTGGTGATGAGAAGATGGAAAAGTATGATCATTCTCCTTTTGATGTAATAGTGTTTGATGAGATCTTTTGTAATGATACTTATGTGTTGTCAAGAATTCAGAAATTTACAGAAAATCATAAAGATAGTAAAATTATCATCGGTGCCGGAGATACGGACCAGTTGCCAAGTATTACACCAATCACTAACACACAAAATTATAAAACATATTTGGATCAATGTATAGATAATATATTTGGCTACAACATTTGGCTTTTTGAATGCAAGCGATTGAAGAATAAAGCCGACCGAGACAAACTCAAATGTATTAAGGAAGATATTTTTGTAAATGAACTTCCATTCGTAGATATTATTCTTAAATATTTCAGATTTACAGATAAAGTTGAACTGTGTGAAAACAACATAGCATACACGAATGAAACTTGCAAGAAGGTATCAAATGCGATTAGACAAATGAAAGGAATTGACGAAGAATATGTTATAGGCGATAAACTCATTTGTAGAAAGTATATGAGAACAAAACACACGACATTTCACGTCAATATCAAATATGAAATTACAGGATTTGATGGTAACATTGTAACTCTTCAGAATGTGAAGACGAAAGAAGAACAAACGACTATGATATGGCACTTGCGATCTAATTTTATTTACGCTTATGCGTACACGTGTCATAGCAAACAGGGATGCAGTATTGATGACGATGTCGTGATATATGATTGGAATAAAAACTACTGTGAGAGGGAGTGGTACTTTACTTGTATCACCAGAGCTAGAGATCTGAATCAAGTAATGTTTTACAAGTATGGTGATGACATACAGGTTTAAAGAATAGATATCTTAAGATAAATAAGGATATGAATAAATATCAGAACGGAAAGATTTACAAAATCGTTGATGTATGCTATAGTAAAGCCTACATTGGTAGCACTTGCGAAGAGTTGAGTCAAAGGATGGCAAGACACCGATACATGTATAACCAACACATCAGTAGAGGCAAGGAAAGCTACAGAAGCGCTAACAGACTCTTTGATGAGTTTGGTGTAGACAATTGCAAGATTGAACTTGTTGAAGAATATCCGTGCGCTAACCAGATGGAGTTACACAGAAGAGAGGGCTATCATATACAAAACAACGACTGCGTTAACAAAATTGTGGCTGGAAGAAGTGACAAAGAATATCGCGATCAAAACGCCGACAGGGAAAAAGAAAGGCATAAAGACTATTACATGAAGAACCAAGACAAAATCAAAGCATACAGAGAAAGCAGAAAAGAGGAACACAGCGCCTACAACAAAGCATATAGAGAAGAAAACAAAGATAGGATCAACCAGCAACGCAAAGAATACAGACAGAACAACAAGGATACGATATCTGAAAGGAACAAACATTTTTATCAAAATAATCTAACAACATACAGAGAAAAGCGTAAGGAATATTATGAGAGGCAGAAAGAGAAACTGTTAGCTAAGAGCGCGTGCCCTTGTGGTGGCACTTATGGACACAACACACGCGCGGCGCATTTTAAGACACAGATTCACCAGACCTACTTAGCAAAACAGCGAGAACAACCAGAGCAAGAACCACAAGTAGAAGAAGATAAATAAAATCTCATCTTTATTAATATGAGCAGTATTAATAAAGATGATATAATTTCAACCATATATTATGATCGTGCTGGTTTTGGCTCTTTAAAAACAACTCTTGCAGATGCAAAAAAGAAAGATGCATCCATAACAATGCAAGATGTCAAGGAGTGGTTTCAAGAGAACGTGGAACGGAAAAAACAACTGTCTGGATACAATTCGTTTATTGCCCCTGATATCAACTTTGAATATCAATTGGATCTGTTTTTTATATCAAAAAATGATTTAGATAATCAAAAATATAGGATAGGCTTATTGCTTATTGATGTATTTTCCCGCAAAGCCGTGGTGGTGCCTATTGCATCCAAGCAACCTGCCGACATCACGGCTGGGATCATGGAGGCATTAAACAAAATGGGAGGGAAACCCAAATTAATTTATTCGGATGACGAGGGAAGCCTCAACACCCAAGATCTTGTTGATTTTTTCAAGGACGAAGGGATCCAAAACTATAAAACACGAGGGCACCCCCATTTCGCCGAGCGTTTCATTCGCACGTTCAAGGACATGCTTTTCAAGAGGGTTGACGCAGACGAGAAAAAGGGAAAGGTTAATATACAATGGGTTGATTATATCCCCGAGATCATGCTGACATACAACAGTAAAATGGTTCATTCTGCCCACGATATGACTCCAAACGATGCCCACAAAAAGGGAAACCATCTTGAGGTCAAGATGAAGCTTGAGATGAACAGAATCAAAACCCGTAAATATCCCCCTGTTAGGGTTGGCGATGAGGTCAAAATATACCGCAAAAAAGGGATTTCCGAGAAAGAAAGAACGAGCAACTGGAGCAGTGTCAAATACAAGGTTTCAAGGGTTGAAAAAAAACTTGGTCAAGATTATTATTCTGTTGAAGGGATGAACCGCCCCTACTTGAGGTCAGAGATTCTGAAGGTTTGAAAAAATAATATCTAAACGGTTCTAATAGCTGATGAATTTATTAGAACTGTTTCGCCAATGGACCACCCCCATTTTTCCAAGGGACCACCCCCACTTTTCCAATGGCCCACCCCCATTTTTCCAAGGGACCACCCCCACTTTTCCAATGGACCACCCCCATTTTTTCAATGGACCACCCCCATTTTTTCAATGGACCACCCCCAATTTTCCAATGGACCACCCCCATTTTTTCAATGGACCACCATTGGGAGGGGAGTTACTCCATCCGATAATGGCGATAAGGAAACACAGGAAACGATACGCGAAATGATGAAAAAATAATAATTAAAATTATTTCTATTATTATTTATAATGCAAGATGTTATAAATAATATTCTTAAATTCATTGATGTAAAAGAATTGAAATTAAATAATTTTATTGAAGAATATAACGAAAATGATATATTAATTAATTTTGTTAATGACTTTAGAAATAGTAAAATTGATTTTAACATGTTTTATAATTCTATTAATTATGCTGATTTATTTGAACAATCAGATTTAAAATTTTATTGTAAAAGAATATATTCATATACTTTAAGATTTATTGCTAATTATGATAATAAAAATGCTATTCAGTTTTATGAAATTACATTGAGAAAAATGAATAATATTTACAAAAATAGTAACATTAATGTTGTTAATGTGTTTGAATGTATTAAATGTTTAATAATTTATATTACAGATAATATTGAAAAGTTTCATAAATATTCAAAATTTAGAAAAACTATTATTTGTAATTTAATTGGTAAATTGAATAATAATTTAACGAGTTACACAATAACTAATTTTGAATTGACTTATAATGATATATGATTTTGTAAAAATAAAAGTTTAGTTTTAAAAGTTTTATTTTATAATATAATATATATATTTACATGGATGAAGGATTAGAAAAGATGGTTAAAAAACTGAACAAGGTTTTAGAACAGAATAAGAATATTTTAGAAATCTTACAAGAAATGGAAAAGAAGAAACCTTTAACAAACAGTTATCAAAGTAAGGAAGTAGATCGAACCAATGGTGAATATAAAAATAAAAGAAATATTTATTTAAACAAACTTAATAACAAAGAAATTAAAGAACCGAAGGCTTCAACTATGACATTTTATCAAATTGACTATGATGAAGATACAGGGGTTTATTCTTGATTGAAAACATTTTTCTCTGAAAATCCGTTTAAAGACATATTGGCATAACTAATATTATGAGTTCTACAGATGATGAAGAAGAAACAGGATGCACAATGGTTTATCCTTGCAGTAAATGCGACGAAGCAAAGCCAAGAAAGGACTTTCACAAAATGTATGACAGAATTAAAATGGAAGAGATATTTTACAAAACATGTAAGGAATGCAGAGACAAAGTAAAAGCAACAAAAGAGTTAAGGAAGGAACAGAAGAAACGAATACAACCCCTGGAAATACATAGATTAAAGCCTTTGATACCATAGTTTTGCTATACTTATAACATATAAAATCTTATATGTTGTAATTTTAGTTTAATTTTCCCGTATAAGCCGTGGGGGTGCTTTCCTACATAGGCCTTTCCCATCCGCATATTGCCATCCATATTTTACTGGGATTATTTTCAAGATTTGGGTTAACGGTTTTAATTCTCCCTTTTCCATTGGTTAACCATTTTTCGGGGAGTGATAATTTATGTAGTATGGCGGTGGGAGAGCTTAGAAAATACGCAGTTAGAAGACACTTAAAGACATGATGGTAAATAGTAGTATGGAAAACTTACAGAGATGCAGTAGGTGCAGAAAACAGAAAGAACTAGGAGAGTTCAAGGATGGGAGAAAAGTATGTAACTATTGCCTTTCTAGTGCTAAGACTTATCAACAAAATAATCCTGAGAAAATGGCAGAGAAATGTCACAAGTATTATGTCAATCATAGAAACGAGATTTTGGAACAGAAGAGAGAAAAACGATATTGTGATCTTTGCAAGGTAGAAGTAGCTAAATCAGAATGGACGAAGCATTTAATCACTAGTCGGCACAAACGATATCAAATGATAGAAGCCGGGGAGAAGTTGGAAGCCGATCGTGGCGATTCGTGGTGGTGCGATGTGTGCCAAGTATTTTTAGCAAAGAAAACATCAAAGTGTAGTCATAATGGCTCGAAAAGGCATTGTGAATTAGCAAAGTCACAAGGAGTTGAGGAGTAAATGGGTTGATACATTTGTTTTGCGATGATTGTATCAATGCGTTTGGGATATTTATTGATTTAATGGGTGGGATTTTGCGCAGTGTGGCGGGTGGAGTGGGGACAAAATGCGCAGTATGACGGCGGGAGAAGTCACCACTAACTCATAGCCCCCCCCCCCCCCCCATAGCCCCGCCCCCGTCCGCAGCGGCCAGGGAAGCCAGGCAAGCTGGTGCAGATCCCGGAGGGCCAGGTGAAGAGCCTCTGCACCACCGCCCCTGGGCCCCGACCGCTTTTTTGGCTTTGATCTTCAGCGGCGGCGGCGTTTTGGCCCAACAGACACGGTAAAATACAGTGCTCAACAGACACTGTAAAATACAGTGCTCTCGTTTTTTTTTTTTTTTTTTTTTTTTTTATGTTTAAAATCATGCATCGCATTGCTCTCTTCTTTTACCCCCCCCCCCGTCCTGCTGTAAAAGGTCGAGCGGGTACTTGGTAAGTGGTTTGTAAGCCAGGTTGTAGCCCACTTAGGAGACTTGTAACCACGGTGTAACCAGGCTTACCGACTCCGTACAAAGTACCCGACCGCCCCTTTAAGTGGAGGGGGGCCATTTCGTACTTGCAGTGGCTAGGCAAATGAAATTGAAGCAACCCCCCCCCGCCCCCCCACCGGCCTTCCCCGCCATCTGGGACAAATCTCTCCTTGGCGAGGCTCCAGGGAGCTGCTCAAACGCAGGCCTATGATCGGATCGGTTTCTTCAGTATGACCCTGCGGCAAGCTCTTTGTAGCCCTTTTGGTAAAATCACCTGTTCGGCCACCCCAAAGGGACAGTCATTTTTGTTGAATGCTTGCCTTGGTTTCAAGGAACGATTTTTGGGTCAGTTTGCACATGCAAGCCATCTAGATGTAGGCGGAAGTGTCTGAAGCACAGCCATGCTTTGTGCCCCAATCTTGGAGGGGGATGAGGGGTTTTGCGTTAGCCTCGGCTTCAGGCACAAAGGGCCCACTGAACAGGACGTTGCTTGCAGGCGTCGCTGCGCGGACGAATCGCCTGGGGATGCGGCCGAATCGATTCCTTTTTGACAGCGCGCGTATGATCGCATCATATTGGAGACTTGCCCGTTTCTTGCAGGGATGAGACATCCGTGAAGGAAGAACTCATGTTGCGCCAAGTTTCGATTCAGGAGCTCTAGAAAGCTCATTGACAGATCATCAAAGAATGCAACAGCAGCTATCACAATAAACATCCGCACAGCTACGCCCTTCCGGGCCTATCGATCTTATGTGGCTTTTGCACCTACTGCAAACTGGTTTTGTGGGGGTGGCTGGTGCCTTACAAGACTTTCACAGACGCAAGCATAGAAGCCCATGCCGCGAAAACCAGTGCATCTGCTTCTGGGAGGATGATTGGTTTAAGCAGAGTTTTGCCATGTACAAGTGAGTCACGAAGGATTCAGCGGCGGCTGCTTGCGAGCATGCATGTGTCAATGTAGGCCTTGATCCCAGTTCTTTTGGACTTATCGAGCCGAGGCCCGGATGATTTTCCTGGACCAGAGCCCTCTCCTGGAGCTTGAGGCAGGTGAGAGGGAAGGAGAGTGAACCTAAGGGAACTTGTTGGGCATGGCTCGCCAAAAATGAGCGGCCAGCGCAAAGATGTCCGGTTTTCCTTGGGCACCGGATTTGAAGGCACTGGAAATGGACGCAATGAAGACATGACATCAGCCCGCCTCACTTCCAAAGTCAAAGAACGCAAGCGCGCGAGCGAGTAACACGAGATGTGCACGGCAAATGGGGGCAATAGATGGCTTTTGGTTTTGTGGACCAGTTGCTTTTTGCTGAAGCGTCCGGTATCATTATTCTCGCGCTTGACGCGAGGCGCCTTTGAAGATCTGCGGCGACGTGCACGGCCAGTATCACGACCTGCTGCGTTTGTTCGACGCTTCGGCGGGAGTCGCTGCGACGTATGGGGCAATGCGACAAAGGCGTCGTATGGGGCCAAGGGTTTATAAAGTGGGAACCCCGGTTCTACAAAAGTCCAGGTGCTGATTTAGAGCGCCTTGGTCCAGGAGGTTGACGAATCCGGGATGGGAAACGCATGCGCTCATTACGGGAGGGGCAGGGGATGGTGCAGACAGTTGTCTGGGAGATGGCAAGATTGATGGAGCTTATTTAGGGCGCCAACAACTTTGACCAACGCTCGTCTCAGGTCGCAATTGGAGAGGTGTGCTGCTCAAGTTTTCAGCGCGAGAGTGTGGCTCTCCTTGTTCATCTTGACGGGACCCCCAGCATTTAAAGCATGCGGTGGGCTTGACCCTCCTTTTTTCTTGCTGGGGGGTGCGGTAGGTAGGGAATGAGGGAACGAGGGTGGGGGCCCCCTCAAAGGAAACCACAAGGGATGGTTTATTGGGTCATTCCCTCATTGCCTGCTGAGCAGGCAGGTTTTGCGCTAATGAATTCACTTCAGGTAAGAAGCTCCTATGTTCATGGCAGGTGGCGGGTAGCCAAAAGCTTCCGCCTCGATTGAATGCGAATAAAACGGTGGGTTGTTCAATTTGGCCAAGGATTTGCGTAGATGTCGCGGAAGGGGCCGTCCTTTGAAGCCACCCCCCTGTCACCATGAAGCTTCCCTGTTTCGTGCCTTATGCTTTGTCTTGTTGATTTTAGATCAGCAGGACCACAACTGGAGTCTAAGCCCAAAATTTCGAAATCCATGTTGTAGTTCAGGGCCTTTAGACGAAATATGAAACAGAGCCTGAACATATTGTTCTCCCCAGATGTAGACCAAAACATTGTCAAGCCATGACTGGTTCATCATGTTCTTCTACGCAGCTTTTTTCTCCCCGGAAGCTGAGGAGTACGGAGGCTTCCCGCCAGAGAGCAACTACCTTTTCCTAGGCTGGGCCATGGTTTGCTTTCTCCCGACCTGGGGTCTCGTCTTTCTGGCCCTTATTTTGCCCAGCAAAATGCGCCCCGTCTTGGTGCGACCGCATGGCCTAGCTTGTCACCAAGGGAACGCACCCCTCAAAAAGTGGCTTCTTTCACTTGGAGTCGCGCTCGTTGCGTCTTGTGGTCGCCTTCAGGCAGAACCCCCGCAGAACTTCGTTGCATCTCTAAGCGTCCCTCCTGTCATCCTTCAGAAAGGGGTCTCGTGTCTTTCAGACTTGACCCTGGTGCATCCCGTGCCGTCCAAGGGCGTGAAACAGGATGTGTTTGAAATCGCTCTTTAGGCCGTGACCTGAGCTGTTGAGACTACTTTGGTCAGCAACCAAGGCCGCCAACCACCAACCCTAATGGTGACTTCGGATTCTTCCGGGCTTGGAGGAATCTAGCATTGATTGTCATACCAGGGAACCAGCTCCGATTTTCGTACGGTCCCTCTAGATCCGAGGTTACCAGGGTGACATGAAGGGCTAGGCTACATGACGGTCTACCACAATAGATCTGAATTTGAGGTACGCAGCCCCCTTCCAAGTGTTTTTGAAGCCTCTTCCAGGTTTCAGTCGCCTCTTCTCCCCCCAAAAGCTGAGTCCTGGGTGCGTGGGTCGCCTTGCGTTACGCCTTGCGTTACGCCGTGCGGTCGTAGGCGACTACGTGGACCGCGGCAAGCAGAGCCTGGAGACCATTACGCTGCTCTTCGCCTATAAGGCGCCTTCCTTCCTCACAGCTGCTATTTGGTTGTTTCTTTAAGCTTGTCGGGAATCATGATTTTCCATGAAGCAGCTGTAAACGTGTGGGGGGTTATGATTGTTGTCCCACTAAACAGCCGGCCGTTTCGCCGCGAGCCTGTCTGCACAAACCAGCAGGAAAAAACACTTGTCGGTGACCCGGGCGAGCCAAGCGAAGCCAGCAGGGTCTTCCATCTTCCTTTGGGAATTTGAGAGTGGCCGGAGCGCTCTCAAGAAGGTTCTGCTTCGAAAAGGGAGGGGGCGCTTCGAGCCGGTTCCGAGAACCAAGGGTACCCTCTAAAATGAGATAGTCATAGGAATGTGAATCCAAAGGGGTCTGTCCTATTTTCGAGGAGTAGGCGCGTCCGCTTTTTTCATGCCCCCCCGTAAGGGGAAAGACACCATGGGGCCAGAAACGGGGTGGTCTCCAGGGTATTTTTTCCACCATGCCCGCCGGTTCACAGGTGAAGTTCCCTGAGAATTTCTTCCTGCTGCGCGGCAACCATGCGCCTGGGCAGAGTCGCAGCCAGCGCCTATCTTGGGGCCAGTCACCCCAGTTGGTCAGTGGGTGCCCTTTCAACGTTTTTTTGGCAATGGCCACTGGGCATCCGGGGTGGGTTCCCCTTTTTTTGGCGTCCTTTAAGGTCAACCAACCAAAAAAGGATGCCCTTCTCACTGGGCATCTGAGTCACAGTCAGGGTTTATTCGTTTCGGTTTTGCACAGCTGGGCCCGGGGATGGAATGTCTGAAGGGCCCCGGTGGACCGTGGCATGACCGTGGCAAGTTGTTTGGGGCTATTTAGGGCCTCAGATTAGTGTTTGTGAGGGGCGTTGAAGTTCAGTGACTCGTTTTTTTCGCACGCTAAGAATGCAGGCCTTTGGCTAAGAAACCACATTTCAGACCAAAAGGAACATCAGGAAGAGCTTTGGTTTTCGAATACCAATGGTGTGTTTTAGTTTACCCAGACACCAGCGCCCTTACCACCTTCCGAGTGCCATCGGCGTGTCCCATATGGACAAAAGGGTGTTGCGTTCAGGTTTCTGAGAAGCACCCTCAAGAAAAGAACAAAAACAAAAAACAAGAAAATACTGCACTGGCTAGATGGCCTTTATTCCATGTTTCGCCAGGGTGCGGCCCATGTGTGTGTGTGAGAGAGTTGCGGTGCGGTGGGTGTGCTGTGTCGTGCGCGTGCGCGTGCCTTTGCATCGTTGTATCTTTGTGTTTTTGTCTCCGCTTGCATCAATGACTACGTGGGCCAAGGTAAAGAAAATATCTGTATATGGGTGTGTGTGTGTGTGAGTGGTTTTTCAGGGTACCCTTTGTGTTGTTGTTTTTCAGTGAAGCCAACAAAAGAAGGCACCATTTGTTGTTTATCCCCATGTTTGGAAATGCACATCGCGATGGACAACATATAAGGAGGCATGTTGGTACACGCCTTCGACACATTGGAAAACACGTCTCCGTATGTGGAGGAATTTGCGGAGAGACTGTTGCGATCATCCTGGAGGTTGTTGCCCGATGTTGCCCGTGTTGTTGTTTTGAAGCAGGGCCAAGTCTGTGAAAAGAATCCCGCGTTGCTTTCCTTTTTGGGCGTCGACGGGCTTTAAATGATTAGCGTGAGTTAAGCAGACAAGAGGAAAAAAAGCGCCGACGTGTTTGGTCCCTTTTGAGAAGCCTTGTGAGCATAAGTGCATAAGCATGTGAAGGGCGGCCGGTTCCCCTTGGATCACTTGGATCACTTGGATCACTTGGATGTTTCGGCGCCCCCCAGGAGTGCGCGTCCATCACGCGTATCTACGGCTTCTACGATGAGTGCAAGCGCCGGTACAACATCAAGCTCTGGAAGCAGTTCTGTACCTTAGGGCTTGGCGGTCGGGGGCGTTTTTTGTTGTTGTATGTTTGTTTCTTCTGTTTTTTTCTTCTCTCCGTTTTTTTCAGGGCGCGCCAATTGGCCCCTCCCAGTTGGTGCAGAGGGGGCGTTTGTGTTTAGAGGTAGGCCCAGATATAGTTGCTCTCGATTAGTGAAGCTAGTGGACAACTAGGGGGTGTTGAGCCCCAAACATGAAGCTTTCCCCGAAGATGGGACACGCCCCTATCAATCAACCAGGGCTTGCTGATCCTGGGTTCGCATGGCAGTGGTTACCAAGCAATGCCAACGTATGCAGGGGTGCTGAAAGAGTAGCGGAAGTGTGTGTTTGAACTCATTGGAAGCTTCATGTCCACCTAGAGTTAGCAACCTGACCCTGAGCGCCCCTCCAGGAACAAGTATGGAACCTGCACAGGAACCGGTCACCTGAAAGGAACATGGTCTTCCAGGGAGCCCTATGGAGCCCCCGATAGGAAGCTAAGTGTGTTTTCCCATACCCCACCTAATCACGAAAGCTGGCTATGCTGGCATTGAGTTCTCCTTGCTTTAGCAATGTAGGGGGCTGATCCGGCTTCACAGATTGAATCTTTTAAGCCTGAGGAAGAGGGGGTGTTCTGATTTGAATTGATTCCAAACAATCTTTGCTACCCCGCCCCCCCTGTCCCCACCCCCCCAGACCCCACATTGCCAGCACTTTCCAAACATTTTGGGAATCTGTTTCATCAAGCTCGGGTCGCAGAGACTTTGTGGGTGTTCTCTCAGTATTTTGGCAACCACTGAGTCGTACATGTCATTGTGGGTCTGGCTGGCAATCGTTCACCGGCTTCTCAAAGTTATTGGGACTCAGTCCAGCCCTTCCCACTAGGTTGGACCCGCAAACACCCCCAACCCCAGCGGCCTTTTTGAGTTCTAATCAGAGGAAACTATTTCATGACAACCGCCATTTCGGGGGGTCCACTCACAAATTCGCCGCAACCACAAAGTGGGGGTTGCGCAGACCACATTTTCCGGATGCCGCGCACCACCTGTCCTCTGATCAGTTCACGTGGGGGCGCCGCCCACCCCAAAGTATTTGTTTCGCTGTTGAATTGCTTGTATTGGGATCCATCTTCAGAAAGTGACCCAGACCATTTGCTTTTTTTAATAACAAATCAAGGAAGCTCTTTTTTTTTGTGCGACACGACTTTGCGGGGGTACCCTTGGCTGATTGAGTTGTAGGCTTAAGGCTAATTTAGGGTTTTGGGGTGGAGCTTTTAGGGTTTAGGCTTTGGGGTTTTAGGGTTTACTCCCGTAGCTGAGTTTGCAAGTTGGGCTTGGGGGGGGACCAGGGTGGGAGCTCAACCCTCCAATGCCCCAAAATACTGGCCGTGCGCAGTAATACGGCCAACACGTCCCGAAGGGCATTTCACACGGGTATCACCAGGCGTGTCTGGCCTGACAGTGCATCGCGGTGGATCTTTAATGAGGGGGCCATGAAATCATGTTGGTGGCGGGGTGTGGGCGGGGCGATGGGGGGCGGGGGGGAGGGAGGGAGTTGTGCAGCTCTTTCGGGCACCAAGGCGACGTTTTCAACTGCATGCCGGTCTGTGGCGTCATTGATGTCGCATGCCCGCATTCTGGGCTCGCTAGCCTGACAGCGGCACCCCAAAGTAGGTACGTGGGTAGAATTATACTATATGTATACACCTATGTTTATTCATATTAAAGTGTATTATGCGATGTGCTCTGAAGAAACCAGTTGTGTACGAAGCATGCATACACACCAGCGGTTGATAGTCAGTTTGGCCTTGCCATACTTCCAGTGCAGTCAAGACTCGAGGGTGCCGGCCACACTGCCCATCGAACGATATACTCGATGGGCAGGCTTCAATGAACTAGGGTCTAGTTGTAACCAGCTTGCCGGCATTTGCCAGTGGAGTCGACAGGAGTGTGAGGGGGTGATTTGGGTGGGCTCCGGCCGAGGAGAAGATTGTTTGCATGCATGGAGGCGCGGATCGGACGTCGGGACTCGAGAGATGCTGTTGCTATGTGCAATGTCCTTGGATGACTGTTGATGCAGAGATGGAGAGGGATCATTTGGGCATCATTTGGGTGTGGCTCGAAAGTAAACAGGAGGGGTTACGCAGGTTTTGGTCCATGCTTCCACTTACAAGGGCAACCCATTTTGGGTACCGGTTTGTCGAGCCACAATGGTGTTCGAAGGCCCCTTCTCTGACAGTTTTTGCCCCCAATGCCGAACGGATGGCTTCTGTTAAGAAGCCGCAACCCCCCCCCTTCCCCCCCCACTGCTTTGGGCCAAATAGGTGGGAAGCTTCCCGAGAGCCTTGGGGAAGATTACGGAAGCCTTGCGGAAGCTTCCGGAAGCCTTAGGGAAGCTTCGGGAAAAAGGGGGGGAGATTGAAACAAGGGTGGTTCCCCCCTCCCCCCCTTTTTCCCGAAGCTTCCGGAAGCTTCCGCAAGGCTTCCGGAAGCTTCCGGAAGACTTACGGACTTTGAAGCTTCGGGGGAGCGGACGGGAAGGGCAGGGGACGGGGAAGGAAGGGGTGCGAGGGGGACGAGCATGAGCGTAGTGGTGGGTGTTATTTTCCAGGGCTTGTCGCGCCGCCAGTCAGTGGGGAACCCTTTGGGAGCCAAATACTTTAACAGTGTTATAACACTCCAATAGCAGTGCTATAGCATGTCTCAAGGGGGGGGGGTAAGGGAGGGGGGGGTTTATGCTTTCTTAATTCTGACAGTGCCTCACCTTGTGTCAGTGTCCGGCAGACGCGCTGGCTTTCGAGCATGAGATAGTTTCGCAAAGAACCATGAGAGTGGAGCTTGGAGCTTGGTGTGCTTTACTAGCGTCAGGCTGGCCTGTTGCCTCGGGCTGGGGCATTTTCTTGTGGGTAGGCCTGTCACCCGAGATCACCAACTTTGACCAGGCTCGGTGACGTGCGTCGTGCGTGACGCTTGAGTTTTACACCCAAGAGACGGATGCTTCCGCACCCCGCACGTGGCCCAGAAAGGCTGGCCCTTTGGTTGATACTCCTGGCCACCTTGAAGGAACATGTGCAAATGCTGTGGGGGCAGTGCAAGGAGCTCACAAGAAGACTTGGCCAGGACTCATCCACTAGACCCTAGGCTCAAGCTAATTCCCAGCAGCCCGCTTTCGTTTCCCCTTGCCCCGCAAATGGAAATACGCACCTGACAGGGGCTTCTGTTTCTTGCATTTGCACTGGGCAGCTAGGCGCACGGGCTATGTTTCGCCCAAAGAAGTAACTCCTGGGCAGGTGAAGCGCATTGTGCGTCCCACCGACGTGCCGGACACGGGGCTGATTTGCGACCTGCTCTGGGCAGACCCGGACAAGGCGACGTGCGCGGGGCCTGGTAGGATGGCATGATCCAGAAGTCTTTGCCTGGCTCTTTGAAGACCTGTCCAAGACAAAGCAAAGTTCACTTAGCAGGAGACCTGCATCCGGGTCAACAAATGAGCAGCAAATATAGATCGCGTCTCGCGTGTGCGAAGGGAAGCATAACAATGCATGACCATGCCGCATGCAAGCGGCCAGGGTTAGGGCACCCTGAGTCAGACAGGGTTTGCTACTTTGGCTCGTCTAGCATTGGCAGATGAAGCGAGCCAGCAAGGGGGAAGACGCATTGGAGCGGTGACAAACGTGCTCGGACATAAATGACTTGTGTGCACACGAACTCAGGTCGTCATGAGTGACAACCGTCAGAACCACTAGCTTAAACACTATTCAAGCAGATAAGGCTACACTATCTGGACCACCGTCCGGACGACATTGTCAGGCAGGGCCTGGATCCCGGCAGACGGGCTTGAGGGTGGATCTAAATCCCAGCAGCAGAGAGCTTCCAATACGCACTCGATGCTCCAGGTCCCCAGACCTACGTAGGATTGGCGCGATTCGACCGCGCGGTCACCCGGTCGCGAATGGGCGGCGGCGACTTCAAATGGCTGGTTTAGACATTTCGAATGGCTGGTTCACATGTTTGGGCTCCCAATGCATTGCATGTCATGGCATTCTCCGCCTGGCAGGAGATTGCTGGTTGGGCGGAGAATGATCGCGGAGTGCAACTGGGGCATTGACAAGGGGCTGGGGGGGTGGCCATGGCATGGGAGGACGTCCCCTCTCACGCATGGAGTTGGGGGAGGGGGGCTGGCCGTCAATTGCCCTGTTTGCGTGGAAGACTGGAAAAGTCAAATTGGAGAACCCCAAACCATCTAAGGCTCTCCCACTTAACAAGGGGGATGTGGGGGGTCAAACAAAGCAAAATGGCTCGAACAAGATATCATAGCGCAACAAATGCCGGGCTCTTGATGAAGGACATGTAGTTGTGCTGGGTTGTCTCAGCGCAGGCTCCAGACAATTGACGGGGGCGTGTGGCGGCGGTTGCGAAGAGAAGTTTGTGCTCCAGGCTTGAGGTCGCCGGAATGACAATTCACAATGCGCTGAGAGCTGGTTTGTCAGAAGCAGATCAGTTTCCAATGTTTGCCAAGTACTGCTATGACGTTATTCCCTCTGGTTGTGCATGTAATCTTTATTTGTGCTGCACCCTTGTGTGTGACACGAGCCCGTGTCATCTGCGGCGATCAGCCCAGCAGACTCCTGCTGTTAGTCCAGCAAATCATCCAGCAAATCGTCGGACAAGCCGTGGCTCTTTCTGAAAGACTGCCAGGCTTTATCAAGACTGAGTCAATCAACACGCTATCCTGAGCCATACCCTCTAAGTGGTGGTTTCAAGTCAAACTACTCCCAAAAGCAATCCTGAGAGGTCAAAATGCCACCGCTTACAGTATCTAAAGGGCCCAGCAAGAGGACTCCCATGCGGCGCATCGCACGTTTGTTTCTGTGAGGTCCTTCATTTTCGGCCCGGATGTCGTGAGTACCTTCCTGCAGAAGCACGCAGCTTCAGTTGCAGTCAGATCCACTACCCTGAGGCCCTGAGGCATGAAAGTGAGGCATTGGGAGCCAAGGATCAAACCCCTTTTACCTGATTAGGGGTCCCATTTCAAAGGAGATCCAGCTCGCTTTTTGGGCTGCCTATCCAGGTGGAATGGTGCACCTCTGGTTGACTGTAAGATGACCTACCGAAAGCCACTGAAGCCTTCTCCGGGAGGTGAACAGACCTTCAAGGCCCCCGGGACCGAGAGACATGAGGTCCGAGCTGAGAACCCGAAGGCTCTTCAGCACTCCTGGGAGGGTCAGGGGCCATTCCTCTTTTCGGTTCCTAGCGCTTTTGTTTGGCGCGGGCTGCGTTTCAACGCCCGAGGAGATGGACTTGGTGTGCCGCGCGCACCAAGTGGTGGAGGACAGGGTGAAGGCCAAGCCCTGGTAACCATGGTATCGGTATGTGTCCAAGACTTGATTCCTATTGGGTTGGATCTTTGGACTTTAACTTTTTGGTTGAATTCAAGGTGGTTTTTTCCATTGAACCTACACAAAACTATGCACTTTTCGCAGAGGGGTCAAGTTACAGCAACCAAGAAGCGGGCCGCCAAAAAAGGGTGGCGTCCCTTTGGTTTCCAACAAAAACCACCCCCAAGAAGGGCACTCTCAACTCACCCTGGATGGCCTCTCCTGCGGCAACTCTCTCCTTCGGTTTTGCCTGCCTGACCTCAGGGGTTCCTCCATTTCCCTCTCTGGCACCTTCAAAAGCAAGGGACACCGCCGGTAGATTTCAACTTGTGAAGGGGACATTTAGTGACCCCTGTGACAGGAAGGGATTGTCAAAAATTGTTGGCAATTTTTTCCAGGACGGCTACGAGTTCTTTGCGAAGCGCCAGCTGATCACGCTTTTCAGCGCCCCGAACTACTGTGACCTGGCACGATCATGGAGGGACCAACCGGAGCGCGCCCCCAATGAACGAACGATGGGGGATAGAACCGAGAGAACCCGTTGAGAGGGCTTGGAGTTTCAGCCGCAGAGAGCTCCACATCCTGACTGCAGTTGAAGCCATTTGGATGGCAACAGCGTGCAACAGCACGGGGCATTTGAGGATCCAGGCCGGGGCTTTACACGAGTAGTCCAGACTGACAGCACGGCAGGGATGCCTAGCACCCTATGTGGCTCTTTTTCGGTCAGAACCCTGTATTTGGCAATTTTTGCCCGTATGACCATGTCGATCTCGTGCATATCATATATGACCCATGTGTTGTCAACATTTTGTTGAAAAGGATTTTGTTATACTGATTTATTGTGTTTTATAAGCGGTTTGGCAGAAAAGCATCGTTCTTCTTTGTGATACGACGCTTTGGGGAACTATCGATGACCAGTTTCTGCAGGGAGGCCTTGTATTCAAAGCGGCGGAAAGTCCTCTGATGCATTTAACCGTGAAAGATAAACAAAATCTGTGGGGGTAGCTATGTCACGTTTCGACTGGGCTGAAGCCGGGCCAAACAAAAGGGGGGTAACTGTTCATTCTGGTTCCCTTTCTGGAACTGCTTTGAAGGGAAACCTTTGCAGATCCCCTGGGAATTCCCTCCCGTTTTGAGACAGACTATGCATTTTCCACATCCCCAGCTGGTGGATGTTTCCCCCAATGCGGCGATTGCCCTGCCTTGTAACCCGACGCGAGTCCCAGGTGGCGAGTTTGACAATGCTGGCGCGATGATGTCCATCGATGTGGCTTGACCGCACTACATAAGAGCAATGCAAGGGACTGTCAAACAAGTTGCCTGCAATTCTTGATGATGCAGATTCCAACTATTGATACGTATGGGTCTCACACATACACAATAGGCGAGTGCGGGACATCTTGCAGGGTGCGTATGTCAAGCAACGATCAGTGGACATGAAGCTCATGGATGCTTTTGTGTGAGTTGCGTTGGGCGAGTCAGCAAAGCAAAAGCGAATGCGTTGTTTGCGTTTTCCTGTAGGGGTAGCACTTTGCTGCTTAGGCCGCGGGATTTCCCAAGTGCCCTAGAAACAAAAGCGCCAAACAGTTAAGCCGTCAAGCTGCCCTGAGCCGTTGCTTAAAGGGGCAGGGTACCTTAGTAAGTGGTTGGTACGCCTGGCTATAACCCACTTATGAGACTTATTAGCCACAGAAAGTGGGTTGTAACCATGGTTATTGCCCACTTTCTAAGTACCCTGCTCCTTTAAGTGGCGGGTCGTGTCTACAAACATTGCCCTTCATTAGAAAGGGGCCTGCAATATGCCGCAGCACGGCAAGGGCAGAACTTGCTGCGCGATTCTCCTTCGCCAAGCCTAATCCTGTTCAGCAAAGGCGTTGCCTTAGATCCCTCGTATAGATAGCCTTTCGGGCAAGGGGCTTACGGTGCAAGACGTAGTGTAGGTCTTCGGAGGTTACAGGTCCTTGACCACCTTTTTCACCTCAAAACTTCCACCTTGGCGCCCTTTCTCCACACCCCCTTGTTCGCAATCGCGGGATGGTTGTTTTTGGAAGGAGACGTTGATGTGCAGCTTCAAAGTCTTGAAGCCAGTGAAGAAGAAGTGAAGCCGCCGGGATCCTCGGGACGGAGTACGGAGTTCAGCGCTGGGGGGGGGGGCTATAAAGATCTTGGGATGTATTTGGGGCTTCTTTTGGTGAGCAGGCTCTTGCGCCCCTGGTAATTTAAGTGACCACGCCATCTCAAGATATCGACTCTATTGACCTTGCTTACCTTTTGCCAAGAGGTCAATCTTTGTTCTTTTTCTTGGAGTCGATGCTCAAGACATGTTTAGAGGGCGATGGAGGGCTTGGGCCTTTGTGCCGAGGCGAAGCGGGCAGCGCAGATGCTGATGCATCGGAGTTTTGGGCACTTGACAGTCTGTGGCAGCAGGTCCGCTCAAACGCCAGGTAACTTCCGTTCATTGCGACCATCGGCCTGTGCACTGTGTGGAAAATGTGTTTGTTCCTTCCCCCCCCACCCCAAAAAAAAAAAAACACACATGCAGGAACTGGCAAACGTTCAACCTTTCGTCCGGGGGTCAAAGACCAACACACGCCTTTGGGGCTTGCAACTCTTGGGTGGGAAAGCAGCGTGAAGGAAGGCCCAGCGACTTGAAGTTTGCAAGCTCGAGAGCAGCTGATTGGACAAACATATGAGGGTCTCCGGGAATTTTTATCCCTTTCTTTTTGAGGATTCCGCAAAATTCGAAAATGATTTGTGCAAAGCTTTGTTTGGCAGATAACAAATCTGAGCAATGTTGCGTTTGACTGGGTGGCAACCACAAGCTAGCTTGAAGCGGGGAATCTCAGAAGATCTGAGCGAATGCCGACAGGCAGGGCTTGATAACTTTGCTGTGGGAGCTACTTGCGTTCCTTAACTCTTGGCGCAACGTTAACCCTGGATTAACAAATCCCTGGTTGATTAAAGACCGGGGTGTTTTGCTTTCAAGTGGGGTTTCTTCATTTTGTGACTTAGATGCCCCTATTACGATGGTTTACTTGTCCGGGGTCAGCATTGATGGAGCTGCGTGAGTCGTTGGGCATGGTTTTCCTGGTGGACCTTATGTTTCCAGCTCCGAACTGGGCAACTGAGCAATGCTTCAGTTCAGGCTGTCAATGAGTCAACCGCTCGAGTGCTGAGACAAAATGGAATTGGTCAGGGTGGACCTGCGCCATTGCAAGCACAGAGCCCGAGACGGGCTGCTGGACATACCGATATACCGATCCTGGGGGAGAACCGGCGTCGAGACACGAAGTTTGGTCCAATGGTGTCCCTTTGCACAGATTGACAGGGTTTGTGTCAGAATTAGTGGCCCTCCCAGTTTTTGTGTTTGACATCATGTGCCAATTGCAAAGTGGCTGCCTTCCTGACTTCCTGTAGAATTGCCTGTAGCTGTCTCTCTATACTTCAATCGCAACTCTTTGACCCTTCAAATCCATCAGAATACCTTGAGCTCAGCTCCTTGCGATGTTTGGGCTGTTGGGAGCTGTGTTTGAGATTGCTTGTCCTTTGATCCCAGGGTGGGAGTTTTGAAGGCTGCACCTCGATTTGCTCCGTTCGCCAACTCCGCAATGTCCGGCCTCAGCTCAAAATCTTCAGCCGCTTGCAAACTACGGACACTTGGCCCCCAATTCATTTCATCATGACGTTCTTCATCACTTTTTGGCAGGCAAGTGCCGATAAAGGTTCCCTTGTGAGGAGAAGTCAGTGGTCGCCGTCTCCTGGGTACGCGTGCGCGGCTTGCAAGCTTTGCTGCCCCTTCATTTCTCTTCGGCTGCTTTGCTGAGTCTCACGGGCCAGATGTCAAGATGATTTCGGAAGCGTGGTGCCAAAGCATAGTGATACCCAAACAACCAGTGGTGCCCGTTGCACCTTATCTTTTTTGAAGGGGGTTCCCTGCAACATCTGCCAAACAGGTGCCCTTTTTCCCTATGACCGTGGGGCTCTGAAGATAAGTTTGTTTGCGTTTGGGCAATCAAATGAGTTTAAATATGCGACGCGTTCCCACTGGATTGCTGCGTCACTGGCTGAAATTGGACGGATCCACTCTATCAGGCAGCTTGTCTTAATCGCGCCTAGGGGCACATCTACCGTGCGTGTGACGTGCGGCCACAATTTAGGGAGATGATCAAATCATGGCGACAATATATACATATGTAAATATGCTACCCCCCCCCCAAGCACGTCCTTCAGGGAGGCCTTTGGCATAGTGTTCAAAGGCTTGCTTAAGACAAGCCTAAAAGTTTTTTTGTTGTCCAAAATCAACTTCCAATCAAATTAAAAGAAACGACCAGCATGTCTTTCCTCGCTAGGTTCTACTTGAGTCGTAACTAATGTCCACACGATCAACAAAACCTACATGGAAAGGACACCCCACTTAGAATCTAATTTAACAGAATAATTCCGGTTGAATTCTACAGAAAGGCAGTGGGTTGCCCTTCTTTTGCTGGTTTGGGGGTCCTTCTGGGGGACACTGGCTGTCCGTGTTTCTGGTTGTTCCTTCTTTGTTTACTCTTTTGTTTTGAAGCCTCTTTTTATTTTGGGGTTGGAAGGCACGCACACACACACACATATATATATATATGTATATATAAACATTATATATATACATATATATGTATTGTACCCTTTTATGTATATATACATGCACGTACATACCTATATATATATATATGTTATATATGTGTGTATGTTCATATGTGTGAAATGGTGCAGTTTGTCGTACAACGGTACCCAGCAGCAAGGTAGAATTAATAGTTAACGATCCCAGTGCTTCCAGTTACCTCCATGTGCGGAACCAGCTTGGTTACCTGCCATATTGGTAACTGACCGCTGGATACCGCTGGTTCCAGGAACCACAAAAAAAAGGGGCCGAAACCGGCCCGGAACCGTGAAAAAAAGGCCCGGAACCGTGAAAAAGAGGCCCGGAACCGTCGGAACCGTTAAAACCGTTAGACAGGAATCTGGTTCCAACTTTATTGGGAACCAAGCCTGGTTCCCCAAAAAACAGTCGCCAACGGCCAGTTACTAGCTATACAGGTTACTAGGAGTTGCTGGGGATGATTAATGCTGAATGAGAAATTATCGCAGGCCTTGTGGACGAGCATTGCTTCTTGCGCTCAAAGAACGCGAATGCCGACGGCTACTGGATCCTTGGGTTGAATGTTTTTGTGGCAGTGCTTATATGGGCGGTGCAAGGTTTCAAGAAGGGGGAACCCTGTTTCGGGGAATGTTCCGAAGAATGAGGCCTAACTCTCCAGTGGCCCTTGCGGCACTGAGCCGATCATGGCAGCGGACTTTTGCCGGTAGCTGCCGCAAAGATTGAAGGCAGTTTGCATGAACGGGCGCCGCGGAACCAATTCGTTTGTGGTGTTGTCGGATTTTGTTTTGTCACAAGGTCCCAGGTTGTCTTTGGTCTTGTTCCATGGTTGAGTATGTGGAATAATGTTTTCATGTCACAGCTCAGGACCCTTGACACGATTTGCTTCCTGTTGGTTTCTTGTGGTTTTGGCCTGAGGCAGTCTAACCACTGGGGCGCCTTCAGAAGGGCCCCCAGAACTGTGCAGGTCCGCTAGCCAACGAACCTTTGGCGCAGATCCCCTGCAAGCTGTGGCCTTTGGCGGGGTGCACCGGCGTACTCGGCACCCGACCTGTGGGGCGAAAGGCGAAGCGCCACGCTTGTTGCGTTGACCCCCCCAAAAAAACAAGAAAGGTTGGACAGGGATGTATGCCCTGCCTTTCCCAAGGCAAAGCTGGGGCGTGATATATCTTCTCTGCGGCGATTTCTGTCTTACTCCAACTCCGGGCCTTGATCGGCGCAAGAATCGAACCTCTCATGTTTGGAAGTTTTACGTAGACGCACCAGCGCCTCCAGGCCTGTTGGCTACACAATCCCCGCCGACACGCAAAGGCTTTGAGAGGCTTACGGGCCTTATGAGAAACTCGCAGATGTCTTGCAGGTTTCTGAAGATGCTTTTGGCTAGGTTTGTCATTCGTAGCATGCCAAGAAGGCCGGGCGCAAACATCAGGAGACGTATTTCAATTGGTAGCTAGGCGCAACGCTTAGGTGCGGCTTCCGTGGAAAGCATGCATGCAAGCCTCAAGTTTCCAAGGAAGCCTACAGCATCCCAGCCGGAGGGCCCAACTGAGGCAGATACGCTGCACACTTCACTTCCCACGAGCCGACACTGTTCAATACGAGCTGACAAACTAAACACAAAGCGTGCTTGAACACGAAATCGCTTCGCCGGCGCCATTTAACCGCACCCTTGATGGCGGTTTGTTGCTCCGTCAAAATAGCCCTCTTGCGCTCCATTTGGCCATTTGATCGAAAGCGATCAGTGCCGCGCACATCAGAGATACTGGAAGCTGGCCCGAGGTAGCACCAGCTGCGGATTTCATGCACGGAAAATGGTTTTTAGCATCCTTTGGCATGTAGGGAGGGTCGTGTCTACATGCCCTGCATGTCCGTCATATGTCTACTTTATGGCGTACATCCTTGGGCCCTTCATTGGGCCGGTCCATTTGCATGTGGACCTCATGGGCTCTGCAGGGTGGTTTTTGGTGCACGGCTCGCGCTTACATGGGGCCTGAAAGAACTCTCCTGTGTGGAGCCTCTAGGGGGTGTGGGGCTTGATGTCCATCCCCCATGAACCTTGAGTTTGATGTTCTGAACTTGTCACATATGATAAGCATTGCTTGCCACGAGCGCCTGAAGTGGCTTATGAAGCGTTTCCCTGGGCGTTGCGCAGAGCTACAGTCCATTCCCCACAGGGGTGGGGTATTTGCTCTCGGAGCGTATGGGTGGGTGGATTATGAATGTGCAAACACGGGGGGTGGAGCTTGAAGCTCCACAGATTTGGCATGCTCTTCGTTTGGGCAGTTTGGCTCGGTGATATTTGTGGTGTACCTTGGGCTGCTTCCAAGTAACGAGCTGCGAGTTTCGCGTCCTGCACCGTGCTGGCGTTCCTCAGTCGGCAGCAAGTCCTGCTGAGACGGCTCGTGATTCAGAATGGGAAGTCTTTGTAGTGTCTTTTTTTTTTGGGGGGGGGGCTTGGTTGCATTGGGAAACACGTAGCACGTCGTCTCTGAGCACATCCCGAAAGGCACCCTGATTTGACACCCGGTTTCTGAACGTTTTTCTAGATAGATAGTCATTGTTGAGGCATTTCATCATGGTTTTCGATGACGTTAGATGTTTGCAGCAAGCCGGTACGGCTTGCTCACATTTTCCCAGCCAGCTGGGTATGGCTGTCATGCAGCAGGGTCCGTATTCTTTTAGGCCTCATTTATCCAAAGCCGGCCTTTACTCATCAGTCGTCATTGATGTTTGAGTATGCCCCACACTATCTCCACGGCTTTTCAAACGCAATCCTTAATCCTTACCCAAGGCTTACGCAAGGAACCGGTCCCTTGTATTGTGGCTCTTCCATGTTGATTATGGACAATTGGATTGGCCAAGCCAAACCGTTTTGAAGAGCCCAGATAGAAAGGAGGGGTAGGCACCAAAGCTGAAGGACTGAAGATGCCTTGACTTTGGGCCGCGCCTTGCCTTTAGCGTTGTGAAGCAACCCCCGCAGCATGACACGATAGTGCGGGTGCTGGGACTTGAAATGCACCTGCGCCCCAAACGTTGGGGGGGTCCAGTGCTTCACAGGGCAAGCGATTCATGCCCTTACAGTACCCTCCAACCAACGGCTTCGTCATTCACCTTGGATGAAGCTGAAATCCGTGTCCACCTGTCGGCTGAAACTGCGTCCAACCCCCCCCCGGGCCTTACACATTTTGACAAACCATTTGACTTCTTACGACTGCCACCGCGGTAGGCGCCTTCCTTTTTCTTTGTTTTTTTCTTTTTTTTTGGTGTGTGTCGGTGCCAGAGACTTTGGGGAGAAAGCGATAAGCCGCTCGCCGCTCGCCGCTCGGTGCAGAGCTTTCCCGGTGCCCAATGGCTCCGGTGCGACCTCCACGAAAGCGGACAGCGAGAAAAGGCGCCGAGAGGGAGCTGCGCGCGTCCCGTGCGGGTGCGGGGGGCCGGGGGCCGGGGGGGGGCTCTTTGGAGCGGAGGTTTGACCTGTTGAAACCGTTTGGTTGGTTTCGACTCTGCCACGGGCCGAACCAGCCGTGCTTGGCTTCCACTTGCGCAAGTTCGGTGGAAAGGGTGCGGCAAAAGCCGTCCTTTTGTTCGCAGGGCAAGGCCACTGGAGTGCAGCTGTTGTTGACCTACGCAACTGCACAGTCGCCCAAGTGGTAGGCTCCTGGGAGTGACTTGAACTACAGCAAGCCCTAGAAGCAGTCAACAGGCGAAGGCGCGGCCTTTTCCAGGCGAAGGCGCGGTTCCCTCGTTTGAGTCCGGCGGCGCCGGTGCCCAAATGAGACTCATGCAACTTCAACCTTTGGCGACGAGTAAAAACAAGTTCCACCCGAGTCGTGTCGCAGGGCAAGTAATCTTGCTGGTACCAACTTGTTACTACTGCTCACGTGCTGTTGCAAGGCTTCTGACATTGTGTGCTTAAAACCGTCTTCAAAGTACAGAACATGTGTGTGTGTGTGTGTGTCTTTTTTAAGGGGAGCCGCCCAAATGGTGGCTCTTCTTTGGTTTCCCTTTACGCCAACCCAAAAAGGATAAACAACTTGGCAACAGCTTGCCATGACGCAGCTCCATCGAATCGGCCTAAGGACTTGCCCCTGGAGGACGGTCTCAGTGAGCTGGACGCCCCGTCCAGGTTCCTGGGCGCGGGCCTTGCCTTCGTGGAGAGAGAGGTCCCATGTACACCTCACTTTTTGCTGACCTCTTAAAAACACAACTTTTCAACTTTTTGGGTAACATGGGCTATATGTCTGTAAAAAATTAACTTCCCCAGGGCTTGGAGTTTTAAGGGGTAAGTTTGAGTTCCTAGACTTCGAACTTTTTGACAAGACCCATTTTGGTGGTAAACCAGCAGTTCAGATTCTTGGCGACGATTTCTCAGATGAGAAATCGGATCATCGCACTTCAGTTGGACTTCACTTGGCTGCGGCTCAGATGATTTAAGGTGCAACTAAAGAAAGTGGCAAATCCCAGAGGCGATCCAGACCCCCGATCCAGACCAGTTGATCAAAAGCGATCCAGACGTCCGCATCACCGCGCAAGGATCCATACCCGTTTTTGAGCCATGGCAATTGTGTTGGGTTCGGATGTTTGGAAGGCGATTTACATGGTTTTCGGGTTTGGACCATTTTGGTGGTCGACTGTCGGCCACAGTTTCGTCGGCCTGGTGGGTTGTTAGGGTGTTCCCGCAAAAAGGGAAGATGCAACTCGAAAGTTGGACCCCTCTTGATCAACCAGGGGCATATTTCCCATTTGGTTGGGGCGGAGGGTGGCTGGTTTCGGATTTGTGGGGCAGTAAGTGCCGAGGTGTCAACATGGTCGATGGGCGTGGGGTGCGGTTGCATTATTGCTGGGCCCTGGGCGTTTGTGTTTTGCCTTAGACAAACAAGGGAGGCAACACATTGCGGACCTGATTCTCTTACAGTGGCTCACTTTTTGGTTTGAACCCCATGTCACCCTCCTACCAATAAACACGGAGCCTGACGTTCGTTGGATCCTGGAAGCTCACTTTCCTTTTTAAAGAGAGGCCCAACTGCCAGGTTCCACAGGGTAATCGTTCAAAGAAGCGCGGCCGCAGCTTTCGGCTCAAAAACTTTGGCTCGCCCGGTCCGTTGGTCGCTTCCTTCTTTCCTTCTTCGCCATGGCGCTCCGCTTCTTCGCCCTGCCGCCTTGGCCAAGATGGCAACATCTTTGGGAGCCGGCGGATGCGGTCTGCTCGTTCATTTGGAGTTGTGCCCCGGGGGGAAGATATGGGGGACATGGGTCTGTTTTCTGGGGTGCCCCGGTTAAAAGGGGGCATGGGGCCTTGTAACAGCACATGAGTTTCGGCCCCAGTCTACCTGCCCTGCAGCTGACAAGAGGGTGTTGTCCACTGCCTGCCGTTGTTGGACAGAGGGTAAACAGTATACCCCACACGCGACTCCACCGAGGTTCTCCCTGGCCGCCGCGCAGAACCTCCGGGGGGACTCAGTCACCTGCACAGGCGAGGGCAGCTTGCCCATCGGGGAGGCCAAGTGCTTCGGCGGAGACCTGCTGGTCGAGAAGCGCCTCGTCCGTGAATTAATCACGGGCCCCCATCACAACCTCACCCCCAAATGGCGGTTTGTGTGTGGAATAGCCCCTCAACCACCTTGTTTCAGGTTGTGACATATTAGTGCCCTCCCCCTACTGTGGATGGACGAAATTCCCCCCCCCAACAAACCTTGGAATGATGTTTCCCTGTAAATACCATCCAACAATGGTTTCCCATGGTTTCAAAGTTGTGCAGGATTTTGTCCATCCACAGTATTTCCTGTATGAGAAGGGGCTTGAGCGGGGTCACTGGATTTCCCAAAATCAAAGTTGATCAATTTACTAGTCGGTGCCCATTGAGAATGGCTTTTGGAGGTTCCAAAAAAGAAATGCAGGAAACCCTAGTTCAGCCCTTGTCTATGTTCCCGTCTCCGCCCCACGAGCCACCGGCAACATGAGGCATAAATCAAAAGAAAGGGTATGAATCTGCGAAGCCCTCTTAGGGTGTAGGGAGAAGCCATGAATCCCAGGGTTCCAATTTCTCTTTGCAGGGATGCAACAGGCGAAAGGGGGCACTGCAGGCACCTGGAGAGACCCAGGCCCGGGGAGGTCTCTCAGGTTTCTACTAGGGAAGCTTCCCTATTCTTTCCAGCGATCCGAATCTTTTCAGGACGCCAGCAGAACCGGGGAAGCAGCTGGTGGTTGAAAAGAACGATGCGTTGAAAAGATTAGGAATCAAACCCTGAACCCCATAAACCACTGCTCGGACCCAGCAAATCCACGAACCACTATGTAAAGGGGATGAGTCGAGTCTTCCTTGAGGCTTGCTCCTCACCTCAAGACATTCTGAACGGTGGCCCGCATGTGCAGAACCGTTCCCAAGAGGTCCTTTTCGCATCACTATCCTGAAATTAAAGGAGCCCCTCCTGTGGTGAAGTGTCATTTGCTGGGGTGCTAAATAGCACACGTTTAGTTATCCCAAATGGACACAAACACAAATGTGCATCTATTCGTGTTTGTTTCCAGGGTAACTATTTGTTCGACCCTCCCCGCCCCTCCCCCACTCCCCCCACCCCCAATTTTCCAGGGAGAGACTGTGGATGGACGAAATCCATTTCGCACCACCTAAAAATATCCTGGAATGATTCGATTCCCCCTGCAAAAACCAACAAACACTGGTTTCCAATGGTTTGAGAGAGAGCAGGGAAAGTGGTTTAAAAGTGCGAAATGGATTTTGTCCATCCACAGTATGATATGGTCTTCTTGATCCAGGCCCGTGTGACACCCATCGGTACTTGGACCCTGTCTTTTGCTCAGCGCAGTCCGCGTCGCAGGTTCCTGCTGCACGTAGAGAGCTTCGACGGCAAAGTGGGCGTGGTGAATATGAAGGCGGAGGGCCCGCAGGAGCCGGGGGTTTTCAGGGCTCACTGCTCAGTGGCCCAAAGCCGACTTGTTTGATCTTTTTTCCCCAACAGCTGCAAGCTTTGGGGTCTTAGCCCAGATAGGCTCCGGGGTGGTCCGGGGCGGCCCTGAGGTAAGGTTCCACGAGGGTTCCACGAGGGTTCCACCAGGGTTCCACGAGGGTTCCACGAGGTTCTTCGCATGCTGTTGGGGATATCACCTGAGCTTATTTTTTTTCTTCCCCGTTTTGGTCCAGATTTGGACTTGATGAACCCTGTGAATAACAAATTAAATGCACCATATTGGCCAACTTTCTGTTTTGGATCGCCCGGCACATTCATCCTCTATGTGGAGACAACCCAACTAGGGCGCAGCCATGCGCAAACCAAAAAGCGAGTGGCCTTGCAGGCGGGGTTTGCTAGCAGCCTGCGGATGTATGCTTGATCGGATTTTGGGACACCGATTTTGGGCCGGAATCTAGTTAGTTTTAAGGGTGGGCCGGGGGCGGGGAGATGGGGGTGGAACCTCAGTCGGACTTGCAACTCTGCCTCCGGATTGGGTGGCCTTTCCTTTTCCAGCCAAAGAGTTTGTTTTTTGTCAATTTCTATGCTCGGCACAGTGGCAAGGCAAATGTCCTAAACCAAGCTTAGCACCCGAAGAAGAAGAAGCCGGGATCCTTTTTTTTTTTTGGTGGCCTTGAACAAGAAAGCACACGGAAAGCAGCCATTGGCAGGTACCCTTGCTTCATCCCTGCGAATGGCGCACACTTGTACAATATCTATTTACTTGGGATCATTGCTTGACAATGGCACATTTGAACCGGGTTATTCTGTTCTTGCACGGGGCAACACCGGGTCCACATGAGTCCACTCGGCCAGCCGATCGGAAGATTTGGAGGGTGCCAGGTGCCGGCCCTTCAGACCAAGTTTCAAGGGAGTCAGCGCATAGGTGGAGTCAGCTCAGCCTTGGTGACCACTTCTCGGAACCATAGCCCCTTCGGGCTCTTGGATGTTGAGCCCCTCTGAGAAGCTGATTTTGCCTTGGCCCCTCTATGCATTTCGCAGAAGGCTCTTGCCTGCGCAGAAGTCTCCTAGCGCCTCCGTGTTTTTGTTTTGCCCGCCCGCATCCTGTGTCGCCAACTACCAATCAGGGCAAGCCAGGGTAGACACCGCGTGCTGCCATACTTCAGGAGGGTGTTTGCAACGGCGCCCAGTTCCAGAGCGAGGACAACCTCTTCACTGTGGCCTTGCAGCAGCCCTCCAGCCTCCGTTTTCTCTGCAAAAAATACAGCGCGCCCCCAAAAGCCGGGTCTTGGCATCTCTCGGCCTCCTCAAGGGTTCAGCATTCTAGCCCGGCAAGCCTGAAGCCTGAAGCTTTATTGACATGTTGCTCGGCAAAACAAGGAAGCAGCTGGTTTTGGACGCTGAGGTGGCCCTCCGCTGAAGCCGAGATGGGTGCCTCAAACAGGACCCTCTGCGAAGACCAGCCAAAAGTGGTACTTCAATGCTACGACGATTCCAGAATATCCCAGATGCTTCTGGATGGCTCCCTTTCCCGCTTCCCTGTGTAAGCCAGCAAGTGCCAGCGAGCAAGCAGAGCGAGTTTGGCCGCGAGGTAGCCAGACAGCCATCAAGCGATCTTTTTGGTTATAGGATTCCTGGCTTGCTGGTTTCTTATCTAAGGTGGAGAACGACAACAACTGCGGCTTGACAGCTTTGGGCTACGACTACACGGTGCAGTACTGCCCGAACCAAGACCAGGCAGGTGCGCAGATTGTCCCTCCCTCCAAGGGCTCATTGGCCCTTGATAGCGTTGGTGGCAAATCACTAAGCCAACCCTCAGTGAGGGACGAGTTGAGGTGCCTCGTTTCTAGAAGAAGGATAGCCAAAATTTGAGATGAAGTGCACTGTTTGGTGGAATGAATGTCTTTAACAGCATCCCAAGCGAAGATCCCAAGCGAGTAAAGCCACACAATGTTGCACAACAGCGCGGTGTTGCCACCCATTTACCCGCTTTTCTCCGAGGGGATTTGGGGATTTGAGCCGGGCGCGCGCAGATGATCGTCCACCTGGTGAAGCCCGTGAATGTGCGTGTGGTGCTCCAGAGCCAGAGCTGCCCCGAGACGGAGGTCTGAGGGATTCGCGGAGTCGGGAGGGCAAGCGAAAATCGCTTCAGGAGCTGAGCCGAGGCACCGAAACCCTGAAGAAACCTGGAGAGAACAAAGCGTCCGAACATGTGCAGGGCTCCTTACACGATACATTTTGCCCATTTGAAGCATGGCTTTTTCCACCAGAATAAAGGGAAACCGCCATTTGCAAGGCAATGTTCAGGTGTATAATGTAAGGATCCCTGATGTGTGTTGCATGTATCCCGATCTTTTGGGTGAAAGTGCCTTGATCGAATTCCGAATTCGCGCTGCAGTGGAAAAGCCCTGCAGCTTGCAACACTTTGAACAGAGCACGCATTTGGGCAAATAGGAGCTCACCTGACGGGTAGATCGAGCTCACCAATGTCACAATGAAGGTAGCTTGCTTGGAGATTCAGCATGTCCAGCTTGTGAAGTGAAATTCAGTACTTTGCTCAGATGCGTGGGAAACTTGTAGCAGTGCGGCTACGCATAGCTCCGAAATTACTTTGCATGACTCCCGACGATCGCCGTGCTGGACAAAGAGGTGAGGGGTCTGGGATGTGCAAAGAGAATCTTGAGTTAGGATCATCAGGCCATGAGTGTCTTTGAGCAGCTCCTAGTTGTTCTGTGCCACCTTGTTTGGATGGCCTCCTCACTAAACAAGGTCACCCCCCAAAAGGGCAGCTTGCTTTGCCGCAAGCAGGCTTCCCTGTCTGCGGTTCATTAAACCCTAGTGACGCAGGCGGCCATATCCTGCGATGCAGCTGTTTTTGGGAGCCACGTCAAGCATTTGGCTTTCCAAAGTTTCCAGAGAGGCATCCCGCCTGCTTTTGGATTTCATTTGTTTTTTTTCTTTTTGGGGAGGCGGGTTTGGTACAGCAAGAGGAGTTCAGACTTCTTTGGCTAATGAGGCCATGCAGCGACTATTCCTTCGGGATTTTTCCCCTCACGGCAATTGAACGCCAAAGTTGCGTGCATGGATTTTGATTGAACTGAGCGGTGCCAACAGGAGTCCTTTGTGGTTCTGCTCGCGCGTACTGTCATTGATTATGGTACCCACAACTATCAGTCAGCGAGTTGACCCCAACCATCCTCCTTCACCCATGGATGACAAGGGGCGGCCATACTTGAGATTTCATTGTTTGAAAGGTCGGTTGGGGGCTTGCCTTGCGGTGAGGTGGCTCAATGTTTCAGGCAATGAGCAAGATAGACCTCCCTAAATGGCGCTGAAGGTAGAAACCGGCCTCAGCCACCTACCTCAGGGGTTGCCATGAGCGGGGGGGTTGAGCATTCACCCCTACAATCCACTTTGCAAGGTTGAGAAGGTGGTTTGCACCAAAAAAACAAAAATGGATAAACCAGCTAAGCAAGTAAATCAATAGTTGGACAAAGCTGTATATGTGTCCCTCTCACATGGGCTGGGGCTGGAACTGGCTGGGTACTTTGCCCACCGAGGCCTTTCCGCCGCCGGCTTTTGCGCTGCGCAGGTTTTTACGCAGCCGAATGTTGCGTGGGGATGCCCGGCTCGCAACACGACTCGGGTCTTGCAAGGGGGACCCTGCTTGGACCAACAGTCCAAGCAACCAAATTAACAAAGTGGAACAAGTTGGTGAAGTGAAGCAACAGCTCAGGCGCGGGCCCATAAACCATGTTCAGGTGACCTTTTGGCGGGTTTGGGAGAGGTTGCAAGCCCCTGTGCCGTTTTTCTTCTCCAAGGTCGCTTGTGAAGGACATGCGCAAAAAGGGGGGGAGTATCCCCTTGATTTCTTTTCGAAGCTAGTTATAAGGTTTCCCTGTGTCGCGAGATGCCTGGAAAGCACATGGGGCTGAATTGGAACCCATGTTCATCTTCCGAACGAAATGGATAGGGTGACTTGGGAGCCTGGGCCTGGCACCGTAGTCGGAGCCGAATTCAAACCTTTGATTGAGGCCTCCGCCGGCATGGTAACGTGGCTCGCCAGATTTGGCTTCCGGCTGCTTGAACATTGTGCTTTTCAAGGACTGGAGGGCCCCCTACCCTACCCAAAGCGGGCGACCAGGGGCAATTCTGAGGCCAAGGTCCATACCGGTTGGGAGCGGTAGGTTTCCCACTTTGCATGGGAAAACCTCCAAACTACCAACCCAAACCACCAACAGAGAGGGAGGCTGACTTCGACCCAAAGCTGCCTGAGGCAGGATGTGCTGAACCCGCTGGAGATTTGGCGCGCCCCGTCGAACTTCCGCGCGACAGCCCGCTGCAACAAAAGGCATATGGCCTTAATGGGATATGACTATGGGTCAAAATCAAACCACTAGAAGACCGAAGACCGCAGGTTTAGTCCTTATTCCTATTTACCCGGGTTCATTTTTGGGCACACCTTTTTGACCCGCAGCCATATTAGCACATTGACAGGTCTTAACATGGATGTAAAGCTAAGGGGCTGATATACGTACGCTTACCGAAGGACGGAAACATGCGTTCACGCCGTCATGAGCTATGCATATGTTGACCGTGTTTTCGCGCCTGTGCATAATATGCACATCGCGCAATCGTTCTTCTTAGCGAGTAATGAATCTCTTCAAACTGCCACGGTTCTATGCCATTATTACTCCAATGATTTGAGTTGCCGCAACTTGTTCTCCCCAATAAACAGCTAGAGAACCTGCCATTCCTTTTCTTGCATGAAGATTGAATTTCAATCTGAACCGTTCTATTGTTGGGCTAAATGTCATTTGTTGGGATAGCAACTGTTGTCGATATCAACGCTCAGTTGTCAAAATTGTGAGTTTGCATTTTGAGCTATGTCAAATTTAACGGGTGTTCAACCAGTTAATTTTCCATTGTGGGCACCAATAGCAGATCCAGTTTGTCAAGTGTGTTCCGGTTGGGACTGATGGCGCGTGGGTTCGCGAACATGTGGATACTCATTTGCCGGACCTATTCCAATGAAAGCCGGCTTGGCGTTGTATGATTGAAGCATAGCAGTAGATCAGCCTGCGCTTTGATGCCATGAAATGATATGAACCTTTCAATCCGAGCTTGTTTTGCTCGTTTGTTGTCATGCTGAGGTTGTTTCCAAAAGAGGTTTAGAGTTCGTTGAACCATACTTGTCAGATACCTTGCCACGTTGGTTCCCATGCATTTTACTAGCAATGCATCGTCTAACGGCATGTGTGTCATTTTTTCCGTGTTGACCCCGCGTTGTTTACGGAATCCTGTGGGTGTCGTATAGGCCCTGGGACGACACCACCTGGCAGATGCTTTTGGACGGACTCGCCAGTGGCTCAGAGTCCGCGACTTTTATCCACCCAAAAAAGTTGAAGGATCCCTTCTTGGATGTTCGGCCAACTTAGTAAATAGATTACAACCATGGTTAAAAGGGGACCAATCTCAACCAACTTAGTAAATTGATTATAGCCGTGGGTATTTATAAGTGGGCCAGCCCCAGTTGCCCGAGTCATAACCAGGGTTCTAACCTACTTAAGTTGGTGGAGCATCCAAGTATGGGACGTCGACCAGGGGCCTTATTGGCTCATGTTCCCTGGTTGCTTGCTTCTCAGCTTGCCTGCGAGTGAGGGCAAGGGAGGTTGGAATTTGGGCGGGTTCCAAGATGCACAGCGAGGGACAGAGGGACCCACGGCGTTCGAATGGAACTGAGGGTCGGGGCTCCGAGTGGTCCTTCCACGTTCCTTTGCCTTGGGCCTGCCTTCAGTTATCCCTAAGTACTAGTAAAATTGCTGACAAGTCTGGCCCGACCTTCCCCTAAAAAGGGAACCTTTGGACCCTAAGGTGATTGAGGGAGGCCTGCAAACTCGCTGCGATTCGCTGCGCTTCCCTTACGTTCTTGCATCCGAAATTTCGGACCCCAAAGACCGAGCAGATCCAAGCCTAAGCCCTCACTGATTTGCTGATGCCTCTGCCGGCAAAGCAAAAGACAACGGGGGTCCCGCAATTTTTCTTTGCAGGTTAAGTGGCGATCGTTTCAATGAAACTCACCAGTAAATTGACCCTGTTCTTTTTTTTTTTGGGGGGGGGGACCAGTGACCCCTGAGCAAGCACCAGCGCAAAGACACAACGATGCAAAAAGGCGCAAACACGGCACAAGCACACAACCAACAACGAGCGCAACAATGTGGCAGAGGCCTGCACGACCTTGCGAGGGGCAAGTTGTTGAGTGGCCGTTAAGAGCTCATGCGCTTCAGACCCCACCGCAGAGACAGTCACAGTGAATGGCTCCGAGGAGAACGTCTTGCCCATCTGGCCACTGGCTCCTGCGCTGTTTGCGTGCCGCACTCGGGGGTGGCGGGTGGAAAGGGGTGCCGGCTGCACCTGCCAAGCACAAGCGCGTGGTGTTCCTATGACTTGTCCATGCATGTTTTTTTTTAGCAGGTCTCCAGAATACCTCGTGAGGGCCACGTAGGTGCTCCGATCTGTCGGTATCAATCAGAGGTGTTTTTTGTTCTTCTTCTGTTTTGTCTGTTTGTTTGTGTGTGTGTGTGCGTGATGTGTTTGATCCATTTGCCGTTGTTCCGACGGGCTCGGGTAGGCTGGGCTGGCTTCGCTGTCTTGCGTTAAAGTGATGATTCCGTCGGTTTTGTGTCAAATGTTTCGGATCCCAGTTGGCTTGCTACATTTCACTGTCACTCCCCTCCCCCAGTCTGAGGCTAGTGCAACGCAAAGGGGGGACGACCTTGCACAAATAGTTATTCTTGTCTTCGCCCAACCATGATGCCAAACGAATCAACGCGCGCACGAGACAATTTTCACGACCAGGGTTGGCCAAAAATTCGCACCCTTGGCCTTTCGGGGGTAGTACGTACGTGCCCTACTGGTTCTCAACAAAGTCCTTGCAGCATAGAACGTGTTACATGCAGCAGTGAGACTCATGTGCCTTCGCCTACGGCCTACTGCAGGGCCCATGGATGCTTACAAGCATCCGGTGAGCAAGGAGCGATATTGGCATCTACGCCAAGGAAACTTTTCCTGCCCGTCAGCCTTTGGAGTCCTCCCTACCTTTCTCCTCATA